AAGTAATCACATAACATACCTAAAACTCTGTTAATCCATAGCACTTTCCTCTAGTGACAATTTTTTGTGTGTAACTTTTAACCTTGAAGTCCTGATTCAAAGAAAATGAGGCAGGGACACCTGGGTGGCTCAGTGGTTGGGTGTCTCTCTTGGCTCAGGGCGTGATCCCAGAGTCCCAGGATCCAGTCCCGTATCCCGCTCCCAGCATGGAGCCTGCTTCTCCCTCTGCCTATGTGTGTGTGTGTGTGTGTGTGTGTGTGTGTGTGTGTGTGTGTGTGTCTCTGTCTTTCGTGAATAAATAAATAAAATCTTTAAAAAAAAAGGGGAAGAAGAAGAAGAAAATGAGGCAAAGATCTGGAAACGCAGAAGATCCTTGGTGGATGGGATACATTATTTCCTCTCAAAAAAACAAACAAAAACAAAAAACCCTGGATTTCCAACATGTAATGTGAATTTATGCTGTTAAATAAACACATATTTGGTGTTTTATGAATAATGTAGTCATGTTTTCACATTCAGTAATATTTTTAAAATAGCCTATTTCGATAAAGAAGATAACAATTTCAAGTCTCATAGTATTTTTTTAAAAGTTAAGATCTAGCTTAGTTAACAATTTCAAAGCAAATGTCCTATTTTTACACATCTTTATCATCATGAATTATGTATATGAATTGACATCAATCATTAATCTGCAGGTGTTCCTAATGTAAATTGTATATACCTGTTTAGATTTCTTCCAAAGGCTAGCAGCATACTAATTCGTATTTAGAAAAGTAGGTATCAAGATCTTTTTTGAGCTGAAAGATCTGCAAAACGGAACACCCTTTGAGCTGAAAGATCTGCAAAAAGGAACTCAAATATAATTTGGTCATGTTCTAATTTAAGTTGAATAGCAGTTTCATGGATGTTCATTTTATTATTTTGCTTTTAATCTTACACATTACTTATATTCTCTTATACGTACCAAATGTTATGTAGTTAAAAATTAACTGTTTGTCCTTCTCGGGTTGACTTACTTCACTCAGCATAATACCCTCCATTTCTATCCATGTTGAAGCAAATGGTGGGTATTCATCGTTTCTAATGGCTGAGTAATATTCCATTGTATACATAGACCACATCTTCTTTATCCATTCATCTTTCGATGGACACCGAGGCTCCTTCCACAGTTTGGCTATTGTGGACATTGCTGCTAGAAACATCGGGGTGCAGGTGTCCCGGCGTTTCATTGCATCTGAATCTTTGGGGTAAATCCCTAACAGTGCAATTGCTGCGTCGTAGGGCAGGTCTATTTTTTTTTTAAAGATTTATTTATGATAGACAGAGAGAGAGAGAGAGAGAGAGAGAGAGAGAGAGGGAGGCAGACACACGGGAGGAGGGAGAAGCAGGCTCCATGCCAGGAGCCCGATGCGGGACTCAATCCTGGGACTCCAGGATCGCACCCTGGGCCAAAGGCAGGCGCTAAACTGCTGAGCCACCCAGGGATTCCGGCAGTTCTATTTTTAACTCTTTGAGGAAAACACAGTTTTCCAGAATCTCTGTACCAGTTCACATTCCCACCAAAGTGTAAGAGGGTTCCCCCTTCTCCGCATCCTCTCCAACATTTGTTGTTTCCTTCCTTGTTAATTTTCCCCATTCTCACTGGTGTGAGGTGATATCTCATTGTGGTTTTGATTTGTATTTCCCTGATGGCAAGTGATGCAGAGCATTTTCTCATGTGCGTGTTGGCCAGTTGGCCAGGTCTATGTCTTCTTTGGTGAAATTTCTGTTCATGTCTTTTGCCCATTTCATGATTGGATTGTTTGTTTCTTTGCTGTTGAGTTTATTAAGTTCTTTATAGATCTTGGATACTAGCCCTGTATCTGATAGGTCATTTGCAAGTATCTTCTTCCATTCTGTACGTTGTCTTTTAGTTTTGTTGACTGTTTCTTTTGCTGTGCTGAAGCTTTTTATCTTGACTAAGTCCCAATAGTTCATTTTTGCTTTTGTTTCCCTTGCCTTCAAAGATGCCTCTTGCAAGAAGTTGCTGTGGCCAAGTTCAAAAAGGGTGTTGCCTGTGTTCTCCTCTAGGATTTTGATGGATTCTTGTCTCACGTTTAGATCTTTCATCCATTTTGAGTTTATCTTTGTGTATGGTGTAAGAGAATGGTCTAGTTTCATTCTTCTGCGTGTGGCTGTCCCATTATATGGTTTCATTCATTCGGGGAATATAAAAAATAGTGAAAGGGATTAAAGGGAAAGGAGAGAAAATGAGTGGGAAAAATCAGAGAGGGTGACAAAACATGAGAGACTCCTAACTCTGGGAAATGTACAAGGGGTAGTGGAAAGGGAAGTGGGCTGGGGGATGGGGTGACTGGGTGACAGGCACTGAGGGGGACGCTTGACAGGATGAGCACTGGGTGTTACACTATATGTTGGCAAATCGAACTCCAATAAAAAAATATACAAAAAAAATCTAACTAGTGGGGTGTCTGAGTAGCCCAGTCAGTTAAGCATACAACTCTGATTTTGGCTCAGGTCATGATCTCAGGTTGTGAGATCGAGCCCCACACTGGGCTCTGCACTAGATGCAGAGCCTGCTTAAGATTCTCTCCCCCTCTCTCTGCCTCCCCACTGCACTTCTCTCTCTCTCCCTCTCCCCCTCTAAAAAAATTTACAGCTGATTTAAGTTTTTCAAAATATAGTCCCAAACATAAAAATGCTGCAAACATTACTTCATTAATTCCTAAATTTATGTATATATCAATACCTTGGAATTAATTGGAAAAAATATTCTTTACAGACATTTCCCTATCCAGAAGGGATCATCACAATCCAGAAAATTTTTTAAAAAACCCTGAAACTAGAATTTCTCAACCAAAATAAAAACTCTAGTAAAATATACATAGAAAATACAGCTTATCCATCTGGTCATGCAAACTTTCTATTCTGACTGTAAATCTATTGCTAGAAGACACTAGGGCAATTAAAATGATGTGGGCTAATTAGAAGTTTGGGGTTGTTTGTAACTTTATGGAACAACTAGGATGGCTTTATGGCTAACCTATCCAAATGACTATCTCATCTCTAAAATCTGGTTAAGAATAAATATTACAAATCAGTCTATAGTGTGAATTGAGAGATAGTTTCTGTTTTTCTCTATGGCACTATTATTCTTGTTTCCCTCTCTTTTTTTCCCCCCTATTTGCTTTAGTGAATCACAACTGTCTTGATACATTTGCTCTAAATAACGTTATAAACTTATTATTAGAAACTTTATCTTCAAATATCCTCCTACCCTAATTTACTAGCAAAATATTTTTTAAAGCACTTGCCACATAAACAACTCATTTCTTTAGAAAGAATTCAACCTACCAAAATCTAAGACCAATTGTTAGCCCTGATTTTTTCCCCTTTCCAACAAGTGTTAAAAACAGGTGTCAAAGATAGATCCAGGTTAATCTGACCTGTCCAACTCCAGCTTAGCTTTTAACACCTTGTCATAACATCCTTATCTTTTAACAGGAAGGATTAGTATTTCTTTGTAAACAGTCCTTCAACTACACAGACCAACTTTTAAGGAAAAGTTCCCTATAAGAACATGAATTTCAGTTCTGGCAACCTGACCTAAGAAGAAAATTCTGATCAAAGAAAAGTATTATACACAGATGTTCATCATAGTACTTTTCATCTTAGAAAAACATATAAATCCAGTTAAATGTCTAAGAAGGAAAAATTACCCAAATGATATTCTTATAAATGGAATATTATGTAGCCATAAGAAAATAATGTTCACACAAGTAAATGTGCAATCACAAGGGAAATAGCACATTAAAGAAAAGGGCAATCATATTTTTTTAAACTACATAGAAAAAAATTAGAATGTACACTTGGTTTTTTAAATTTTTTCATATCTTTTTTTAAATGGTCTACAATGTACAACTATTTCATCTCTAATACAACAATTATTTTCCTATTGTTCATACTTTAAAATATGTTACTGTCAAACCATAGAAAGTAAAAATAAAAATAGGGGCACCTGGGTGGCTCAGTCAATTAAGCATCCAACTCTTGATTTCAGCTCAGGTCATGATCTCACAGTTGTGAGACTGAGCCCCACACTGAGTTCCACACTGAGCATGGAGTCTGCTTGGGATTCTCTCTCTCTCTCTCTCTCTCTCTCCCCCTCTGCTCCTCCGTCTCTCTCTCTTAAAAAATAAAAATCAAAATAATGCTGCTGTCATCTTAACACTTAGTCCCCATGGAGGCCATACCCTCTCCCTTACTTTTCTAGAAAACATACTTCCAACACACTTGACCACCTGAAACACAGAAGAAAAATTTTCAGATTCTACTACAGCCTCAATCTTTTGGAAGATACGCTTGGGAAAGTGCTCATTTATTATCTGAAGACTAAAATTAATTTGGCTATCAGCTATCATCATAGTAGATAAACACAATTTGACTTCCTGGAAATCCCTGGGAATTCTTTTTCCCACCTGTGTCAGATCCTAGGGGATTTTCACTGCTGTGGATGATGTCTATGATCTCTCACATCATCTAAAGAGATAATAGCCATTTGGTTACATCTCTTCCCATTCCTCAGGGAAGATCAGATTTATGCACTGATCCAGAAAGCTTAAAAGATGTCCATTTTTTCTCTTTTTAATCTTCAACTACATAAAGGTTAAACTTAAAATTAAGAAAAACTGGGTCATCATTTAAGAAATAGACAAACAATTCCTTGAAGTATTTGGTTTTATATCTCTAAACTTTTTCCTAGCCTCAAAATCATATTTTAATGATATTTCCCAGATAAATTCAACTGCCTGAAGTTTTCTTTGAAACTATTCAAGACCAAAAATATCAATATCACTTGCTGCAATTTTAACATTTTCAGATTGCCCATTATAAAGGTTTAAAAAAAATGGTGACAGTTAAAAAATATTTTCAAATCAGCTCTCGATTTTTATTCTTCAAACAGGCAAGCTTTCCTGAATGTTCCATGAAAATTTCCTCAATATTAAACTCTTGCCTTCACAGATTTGTGTGTCATCCTTGTGCAGGGGCCATGCTAATCTTCTCTGTATCATTCCAATCTTTAGTCTATGTACTGCCGAAGCAAACACAAACTCTTCTCCAAAAACAATGAAGTTGGACCTGAATTGATTTTAATAACCACAAAAAAATCATTTAATTTTTTTACAGGTTACCATTCAAGGGTGTAATTATTTTATTAGTTTTATAGATACCAAAGAGATCTTTCCAGAGGGAAAAAAAAATAATCCCACAGTTGTACTCCACACATATGCAAAATGATTCTTCTTCTTCTGGGGTAACTGGCATCTCAATGAGAGGCTGGCTTTTAAACTACACCACTTTCAAAAATTTTAAAACATAATATACTTACATAATATAGTTGAATGGGAAATGCCTATACTTAATTCCAGCCAAACTATTAGCAAGCTACTTAATTAATGGGAGAGTCTACCACTATCTTTTTGTCTGGAAGACAAAAACTGGGCATATGTTTAAAAAAAATCATTTTCCTCTGTATCTACTACACTTCTTGTAAAATGTTGAATACTATGAGAAACCAAACCAAAAATTACATTCAGGAAAGTCTTCTAACTTGCTTTTCAGAGTATGTTCTACAAACCTGAGAACTTACCAGAAATAAAAATCCCAAATAACATAAAGTAAAATAAAATAAAATAAATAAAAATCTCAGACCCTACCCCAAACCTATTGAATCACAACCTACATTCACCAACAAGATGCCTAGGTTGGGGCACCAGGGTGGCTCAGTAGGCTAAGCATGTGCCTTAACCTCAGGTCATGATTTCAGGGTCCTGGGATGGAGTCCTGCATGGGGCTTCCTGCTCAGCGGGGAATCTGCTTCTCCCTCTCCCTCCGCCCCTCCACCCCACTCATGCTGTCTCTAGCACTCTCTCTCTCTCTCTCCAATAAATAAATAAAATCTTTATTTTTTTAAAAAGGGGGTTGCCTAGGTCATTTGCACATTATTTTGAGAAGCACTAGTCCAGAGTTTAAGGTAAAAGGCAGAATAAACCATCTCTTACTTCCCCATTCTCAGTTGTGCAAAGCTACACAAAATCAAGTTACCAATGAATAAATCATTCCTAGAGATTTTTGGTAAATATTTTCATTAAATCAAGCCTTTCCACAAAGGTAAAAAAAAAACATGCATGTGGCTGATGCCTCGTGCCTATTAACAGCATCTTCGCTGCACTACCAGAGCTATATATTTTTTAATAACACTTTGAAAATAGGGACATCTGTTCTCCATTCTCTATTAAGAAAGAATTCTTGCTAAAGAATTTTCCTCTCCATTTCAAAAACATAATGGATCTTATGGATGAAATCTATTTCCAATTGTTCCAGGTTAAAACAGTTAAAAAGGTTAAAGAATTTTAATTTAAGGATCCTAATTTGACCAATTTTAGGAAGCATTTATTCACTGTACAAATGAGCTAACTATGTATATTTGAGACAAATACATGGCCCCTATCATAGTCCCTGGACTCACTGCAGACCATATGTCATACCTGTAACAGAGTGTCTTCATGTTTTCAAGAAGGATTTTCATAAGAAAATATCAAATCATAGACTACTGGGACTTTGTAATATAATTTGACTCACAAAAGTATAATTTATAGAACTTTCCAGAGGTGGATCTGAAGTGTAACATGGTACACCTGTACTGACCTGTGCTCTGTTAGTCTACAGATTTTTAAACAAGATGCTTCTTTAAGGACTTTGACTACAGCCTACCAGAAAAGTGCTCTGGGAATAACTTTATCCCTCTACAATCATAGCCTTGTTCTAAACAGAGCCCTTAAGTAAATTAAATCTTAAGAAAAACACACTTTTTTGTTTGTAAAGAAAGAAACATTTCCTGAATGCCAGAGAATGTTTCCTTGAGAAACTGTTTATGTTACTGTGCTGAAAAGGTGTTTATGTTGCTATAAACACCTTCCTTGTAAGAGGGGATGGAGAGTCTCCCTATTGTTTACATTGCAATCAGCCCTGATTCTGAAAAGATCTACCCTTATTCCTCATGCCTGGACTGACTCACTGCATTGTGCCAATTAGATCACTCACAAAGATATTCTGTATTTGTTTAGCATAATCGACCCATCACATAAGAACAGGGGACTATGGGTTCATAACAAGTACTACAAATTAATTAGCCATTAATTAGCAGGTTGTGGTGGTTTATGCTGTGTCAAATTTGTTAAGCACAAACTATATTTCCTGGAATCTCTTCCCTGCATAGTTTTGGCTTAAAGTTGACCAAAAGTAGAATTTGCACAGATCTGGACAGATCTGTATGGTCTTGGAAGACATTACTCTCTGAAAGTTGTTATGGTTAGTACAGTGACAAGACATAGCTCTGTGGGTGGGTTCAAACTTACCTTTGCTCTTCTCAGATCCCTATCCACCTTTCCAACCAGTCCTACATGTAATGTAGGCCAACAGAAACTCCAGGCCCACCAACAGATACAAACAGGTAGTAGTTACACAGAGGCACAGGCTTCCACGGCCCCTAACCCATGAGCTTTGTCTCACCCTTGGCTTCTCTGACTGGTTGAAGACTCTACTTATCCTCCAGTTTGCCTCCTGGTCCTTCATTTCCCAAGCTCCTAGATTAATCTTTAAGGCTTAATTTCTATAAGAAATCCCTTATTCTATAACCCACTAACTATGGTCTTCTGTGATTAAACCCCAAATGATTCTAAAATTTGGTTTACTTGTTGGCTCTAGATTTAAAGGGTCTCTTGCCATTAAAGACATGGCAAGTAAGTGGCAAAAGCAAACTGTGCCAGTTCACACTCGGCTGATGAGTATTAGTAGAATAGAGCCTGGAGTTTAAGCCCCCATCTTAACCCTAATTTTTCCCATATAAGTTTTCTCTTTTTATTCTGGCTTGAGACATAATTGACATATTTAAAAAATCACAAATGTAATGTGCATCATTTGATGTTTTGACATAAATATACACCAAGCAAACCATCACCACAGTCAAGATTATGAACATATCCATCAACCCTAAATATTTTTTCATAGCTTCCTAAAATCTTTCACCTCCCTGCCCTGCCCTATCTCCCAGAATCACTGATTGTCACTGTCACTATAATTACTTTGCATTTTTCTAAAATTTGATATGTCTAAAATTTATATATATGTACTCTTTTGGGGAGAGGGCTGGCTTCTTTTATGCAATATAATTATTTAATTAAGTTTCATCCATATTATTGTAAATATTGATAGCTGATTCCTTTTTATTGCTGTGTAGTATTTTATTATACCACAATTTGTTTACCCATCTACCTGTTGGTGGACATCTGGGTTACTTCCAGTTTACAAACCATGCCCTTAGCAACATTAGTATAAAGTCTTTCTATGGAGGTATGCTTTCAACTCTCTTGGATTTGTAAATAGCTATGTATAGAACAATCAGATGGTTGTATGCTTAATGTTTTAAGAAAATGAAAAAATGTCTTTGAAAGGGATTTTACCATTTTAGGTACTGACCAGCAATGTATGAGTTCCAGTTGCTCCATATCCTCATCAACATTTGGTATGGTCATTCTGTTTAATTTTTGCCATTCTAAGCATAGTATAGTATCTCGTAGTTTTAATTTGTATTTTCCTAAAACTACCAATACTGAGCATCATTTCATATGCTTCTCTGATATGTATCTCCTTTCTTGAAATCTTCAAATAATTTGCCTATTTTTAAATGGGGTTGTCTTATTATTGAGTTGTATATTCCTTATATATTTTAGATTCAAGTCCTTTGTCAGCTATATGTTTGGCAGATATTTTCTCCCAGCCTGTGGCTTATCTTTTCATCTCCATAACTTTTGAAGATCAACACTTCTTCACTGCCCCTATGTAAACTTCAGACACCACAAGTTTCCTAGGGTTGCCACAACAAAGTATCAGAAACTGATTGCCTTGAGACAATAAAAATCTAATCCTTCATGCTAGAAGACAGAAGTCAAGGCAATCAAGGTGTTGGCAGGGCCAACCCCCTTTGAACACTTTAAGAGAGAGGTCTTCTTCACTCTTTTTGCTTCTGGCTTCCAGTGGTTGCAGGTACTCTCACATTCCTTAGTTGTGGTGGCCTAACTCCAATCTCTGTCTTGTCTTCTCATAGCTTTCTTCCTTGTGTCTCTCCTGACCTTCACAATGCCTCCTTATGAAGACATGAGTCATTGGATATAGGGCTCACACTAATCCACTATGATCTCTACAAAATACCCTATTTCCAAATAAGGAAATCTTTTGTCAAAGGACAAATTCAACCCATAAAAGGTACTATATTTTAATATTTATTTTTTTATTTTAATATTTTAAAAAGCACACAGAACAATAAATTATTCAACATAAATTCTGGCCTCCTTGACAACAGCCTGGTTTTGCCTCATTCACTCTTCCCATAGAGATATCCCAAAACTCATCTGCAGAATTTCTTGTCCATGGCTTTACTTCCCCCAAAACAGATTCTTTAGATAGAGTCAGTTTAAGTATCTACTCTTGGCTAGCCCTTCTTTATCAACTATTAGGTAAAGCTATGTGAAGAGGAAAATATTTTTGTTACATGATTTTCTCTTTTATGATCTCCCTTCCCTGGCCTACACCCAACTAGGGCATGAAAGTTTGGGGCAACAGTGTTAGGGCAATGATGATTCTTTATCTGCACTAAGAAAGGTTTCTAGTTCCAGCCCCGTCTTCCTTCAATACTCCGTAGAAGAAAATAGAAAATGCTTCTCCAAAAAAACATGTTCTAATAATCAGCTGCTGAATAAACACCCCAAACACAATTTCAAAGGACAACAACCAGGACGCTTGGGTGGCTCAGCAGTAAACCATCTGCCTTCAGCTCAGGGCATGATCCGGGGTCCCAGGATCAAGTCCTGCATCAGGCTCCTCCTGGGGAGCCTGCCTATCCCTCTGCCTTCTCTCTGAGTCATGAATAAATATATAAATTCTTAAAAATAATAATAAATAATAAAAGGACAACAGCCATCTTACTATCTTTCATGGTTTCTGGGTCAGAAATTCAGGAAGGCTTAGCTGAGTAGTTTGGGCTCAGA